TCGGCTAACCCTACAAGATTAAATGGCGGCCTCTCCATGGCCGGTACTAGCTGTGGTTTTATTCAACCTGCACATCAGTGACCCCCATACTACACCAACCGCAAATTCATCTATGCACATATCATCCTATAAATGTGGCGTTCTCACTTAACGTCTCTGAGAAGCTCCTACAGGATGATATCCTAGCGCCAGAAGCCCTTTTTCACTTTCCATATGAGCAAAAAAAATGCAACAGCTACAATGAACTTGAATCTCTGCGGTGTATCTGTATACAACAAACAAAATCTACGATAGCGGTAATGTTAGAGCAGACACTGACGTATCAACATCAGCTACAACAGACGATAAAGAAAACAAGGAGATAGGGTCAATATCCTTTACAACATCGCTGGTACATCATGTTGATCTGATACCCGTAGGCTCAGAATGTCGATACAATTCCTTGATAGCATCGACTGCGTAATACTGTGCACCAATGCAGTGCATCAGCTGTCATGTACATCTTGTGACTACCAAAACAAATGCCGCACTCAGTACTATCAGCGAAACTCTCCAAATATGAGCGTTACCCCAGCTGACAGTATGGCAAACTACCTAAATCTCCATCGGTGATAGCTGCTACAGTCCTTGAATATAACAAGACCTTCGTAGTTCCGGGCTTCCCAGTTCACGAGGAAATTAGTCTGGCATCCCACATGCGACTGAAATTACGAAAATCTTTCTGGATCCAAGGTTCCTCTCTGACAGTCACGCGATCCACACGCTGGATCGAAACGTGAGCCAAATGTGTCGATCTCGAGAAAAGCAGAAGGGCTTACCACGAAGATGTGTCAGGTTTTCTCTTCATCAGACGAAGGCGAACTGCACCAAACAGTGATTGCACAAGGCATAATAGATGCTGATACATCGTCTGTAAATGGAACATCCCAGAATCGCCACTGTGAGTTTGGTCAAGTTCAAGCAGTGGAACATTTCAGGGAGCACTTTCGCATGTATGCTCACCGTGGAAAAGATTCATTTAGCTACGTAGAAAGTTTGCTCGTAACAGTCTGAGAGAGGCGAACAACTGAGTTTCATTTGTGACCAAGCTTAAAGAAGCTTTCATACGTCGAGAAAGTATCTCTACCATGATGCTTTTGAAAACTGGTTAAAAGACGGGCTGAAAGCAGTCAATAATCTTTTAAGACGGATGTTGAAGCTCAAACTGTACATGGAAGTTACAGATCATCTTCTCTTCCTCTTCCGAGCATGTTCCCTTTAACAGCGGTCCGCTAATCGAGTCAATTTCCTCCACATTTTTCTGTCATTCATTACATCTTCGGAGACTAGTCGCAGTTTCATATCGTTCTTAACGACATCGCGCCACCTTTTCTTTGGTCTTTCCCTTCTTTTCTCCTCTGGTAGTATCAGCGCTAGGGCCATGCTTCCAACATACTTGATGTCTCTTCTCTTCAAGTGACCGGATCAACGGAGTCTGCTTTCGACAAGCTTTTCTGAAACTGGTGCTACCCCTAGAGTGCCGCGTTTGTAGCTGTTTCGGATGTGGTACTTTCTGCTGACACCACACATCCATCTGAGCATTCGCATTTCTACTCAGTTCAGCCGTTTTTCGTGTCTCTTCAGGGTAGCGAAACATTCCACTCCGTACAGAAGCACCGGAATTACTATCCTTCTGTACATCTTCAATTTCAGTTTGATAAGTATCTTCTTGCCGCACAGTACTCCGCTCACTTCTCTCCATCTGAACCAAGCCTTTTCGATCGATTTCTTACCTTGCTGTCGATTTCCACATTATCTTGCAGGATGGAACCAAGGTAGCTGAATTCTTGGGTTTGAGGCAAGAAGCTCCCCGCTACTTTCACCGATATGACGTCTTTCAATTTGCTTTCACCACTGAAATAACCCGCCATGTATTCTCACTTGCCTTTGCTGAGTCGAAGGCCGTTTTTCTCAAAGGCTGTTCTCCATGCTTCGAATTTTGCTTCTATTGCTCCCTTGCTTCCGCTGCACATGGAGGTTACATGTGAGCTATAGATTATGCAAATGTATTATGCGTAATTTCACGTGAATGCAGTCTTGTGATGGAATTAAGAAATCTGCACTCAACACGTCTGAAATACCTCGGCAAGCGATTACAATAAAGTGCACACCGTACTTCTTCGCTAGATATCGTTGGTCTGAGCACGGTATCGGCAATCAACTTGAGAACTTGTTCGACCCCTGAAATATGGCATGATGCCGCATAAATCACGGAATCCCTGAAAAAGAACAGGTTCTTGAAAAGACAGAACGCTCGCTGAAACTATCACCGACTTCGTTTGTTGACAGTCACAGATTCCGCCGTACCGTTCCAAATCCCGCGTTACATCATCCCTCGTCTTGTGGCTGATGGTAGACTGAAACGAAGAACGCACAACTTTTCGACAATCTTCGTTTCGCCATACTTACGTTGTAAGCTAGTTTTTCTATAAAATGGCATACACCGCTCGGGTAAGCCACT